AGAAGAACATCAGTTAGATTTATTGATTTATTTATTTTTTTCTCAACTAATTTAGTGAATTTAAGTATATATTAGCAAGAAGAGGTGGAGATTCACATGGATGCAGGTACACCTGTAAATGAGCCTAGTCGAGCTCGAGCTTAGGGTGCTCAAGCCATTAATGAGTTGAGCCGATCTAGGCTCCTTAAATAAACGAGCCATAAATGAAGCTCCCTCGTTTATCACACTATTAATGAGTCGAGTTCGAGTTTTAACGAGTCGAATTATAGAAAATTGTATAAAAAATCTCTTTTCGAACAGTTAACCAACCGAACTTCAAATGAGCTCGAGCTCGGCTCGTTAAGGCCTCGAGCTCGAGCCTTAACGAGTCGAGGTTGAGCCGAGTCGAGCCAAACTCATTTAATTTAACAATAGGTCTTCTAATGATTCAAGGGCTTGAGATTCGAAGCTCGGCTCGAACACAAGTCATGTTCGAGCACCTTGAAAGCGAACACGAATCAAAATCGAGCTTGTATGTTATTATAAAGTCGAGTGTCCGACGTGACGCTCGAGTGTAAGTGTAAAAATATACACCGTATATTTAAAGTTCGAGTCGAACTCGAGCAAAATTTGAACTGATGAAATACCAGTCAATCTCAAATATTTTTGTATATATATATATATATATATTAGTCGAGTCGAGCCGAACATGAATAACATAAAATTTAGCCTTGCTTATCGATGCTCAACTGGATTCAATTGCAACCTTAATTGGATATTTATTGATGTCACACTTGAGGCAATTAATGTGGATACTTTTAATATGTCTTCTTTTGCTTATTCCTTTTCACTGTAACTCATTTCTTTATTTTTCTCCAATATAATATGTTTATATCAATGTATGTGGGCAAGTACCTTTCAAGTGTTATTATCTAAGCTATACCTTAAGTTTTTCATTTTAATTCAATTAATATTTTTACATTGTTATTGTCAAAAGTACTGGCGGGACATATGCAAAAATGGCCAACCAATCATTAATTATATTTCATTTAGTTTTTGTATGTGACTTTTCTCTAGCTCCCTAACATAATTTCATACCTAATGATAATTGAGGATAGTCTGTCATCACACTACGAAATTACGATTTTGCTATGAAACTAACAGTTGACTTCATACTGGAGTCAACTTTCGATATACAACAAATAAACGTACCATATTAATAAAATTATATTAGTGTTATTTAAGTAATCGGATAATATGGTATGTTTACTTGTTGTATATAGAAGGTTGACTCCACTATGAAGCCAACTGTTAGTTTCATAGCAAAACCGTACAAAATTATTGTTCTAATTTAAGCAATTGAAGTATTTATTAACCCCATCTTAATTTCACATGCCTATTATTTTTATTATATTTTTCATAATTTAAGGTACTTAAAAATGTTGCAGTCGAAAATTTTATATATATAAAACAGAGAACTCTTAGAACATAACTGAGTAAATTCATCAAAAGTGTTTTTATCGAAATTCAATTAGTTAATAATGTATTTGACAATGTTTTAATTGATTAATTTGAAATAATTTTAATTGAAATCTCAGCTGAAAATTGACACGTCATGCTCACATATCCGATTAAATGAATTTCTTTTAAGTAATTAATAATAGGAGAAAAAATATATGCATGGTCCATTGGTTTGTTAAGGTTCATAGGGCCAAGCTTCAAGGTGGTTCAAATATGATTATTTTTCAACTTTGATAATCAATTCAAACAAATAATTAATTTGTATGTTCACATCAATTGCATTCTCACGTTTACCATTAAATTTAACCTTTTTTTTTT